TTGGGGGGGGGGGTGTCAGGGTTCTCCCCACGTGCTCTCACAGACTCTACTGCAGCCTCACTGTACGGTGTGGCAGTCGCCTGGTTACACATTGGTTCTTCCACCACAGCAGTGTTTTCCAGGGCAGGGACTCGTATTCATCTGTACAGCCCCATGGACAGTGCTCAGTACACACTTGGAGACACACTGGAAGAGTCAAAAGGGGTCAGTCCCACTGTGCGTCCACACCTAGTTTCCCTTCATTTGTTGGAAAACAAAGTATGCTAGTAACCCCTAACGCGAAGACTTCTTGGCATATCTAAGGTTCTCAAAGTGGTTAGGAATGAGGACAATACTAATATCGTCCTCACAATATCATTAATATAATAATAATAATAAGGTCCTAATGACGCCAGTACTATCCCCATTCTGAGTTCGAGCAAACTGAGACTCAGAGTTGATCTGCCCTGACTGTGATTAGGGATGTCACAATCCAGAGCTTTGAACCCATACATCCAGAGTTCCTTCTGCTACTCCCCAGCTGTTTTAGTTCTTGAATTTAGCACATCACGCCCTGCACGTAGGCTAGGCATTATCTTCATTTTTCTGAATAGGAGATTCAAGTTCTTAGAATTTAAACAACCTGCCCCAGTCCACGTGGCTAGGAATAGCAGGGCCCGGGTGTGCCAGGCTGCGACCTCAGGATTCTTGCTCTCTTCACTAAGCTGCCTCTCCTGCAATACTGGGCAGTCTGGGCTGAGAGAAAACGGGGCCAAGAGTAGACAACAGGGAAAGTGAGAGCACAGCTAACCCCGCTTTTGTCCCCATCCCTTCTCATCCCAGGTTGTGGCAACAGCGCGCTGAGCTACGAGCTGTTCCGCGGAGGCTTCCCGGATGTGACCAGCGTGGACTACTCATCAGTAGTGGTGGCCGCCATGCAGGCTCGCTACGCTCACGTGCCCAGGCTGCGCTGGGCAACCATGGACGTGCGGGCACTGGGCTTCCCCAGCAGCTCCTTTGACGTGGTGCTTGAGAAGGGCACACTGGATGCCCTGCTGGCTGGGGAGAGAGATCCCTGGACCGTATCCTCTGAAGGTGTCCACACTGTGGACCAGGTGCTGAGTGAGGTGAGGAAACTGCAAGAGAGGAGGGCAGGTCAGGAGCCAGGGAAGAGGGTCGAAGGTTCAGGGAAGGTGAAAAACTCAGCAGGCACGGTTGGGGAGGTGGGGCCCCCTCAGAAGTGTGGCTCCCTGAAGAAAGAAGTGTTCCGCTGGGTAAGCTCAGAGGCCGATATATGGCCACTGGGTAGCCAAAGGGACGACGTAGCAGCCAGGTTCCAGACGGGTGGCACAGATGGAAAGGCAAGCGATTAACAGGTGCCTTCTGCACCTGCCGTCACCCCCTGCCCTGCCTGTCTAGAATGTAGCTCTACCCCATGGCATGGCTGCAGGTGGGGAAGATGACTGACTCCTTGCCGTGGAAAGCCTGAGCTCCCAGGTGTAGGTCCCCCCTGAGGGGTGACTAGGAGGGCATCTGGGGTAGTACTGACCTGTGCGAACCTGGAGATGACTCCTCAGTGATGGCTTCTCTGTCTGCCTTACAGGTGAGCCGGGTGCTGGTCCCTGGGGGCCGGTTCATCTCAATGACTTCTGCCGCCCCCCACTTTCGGACCAGACACTATGCCCAAGCCCGTTACGGTTGGTCCCTGCGGCACTCGACCTACGGCCGCGGTTTCCACTTTCACCTCTACATCATGTACAAGGGCGGGGAGCTGAGTGAGACCCAGCTGGCCCAGGGCACCCAGCTCCTCTCACCCCCAAGACCTGCTGCACCCCGTTTCCTTCAGGACTCAGATCATGAGGACTTCCTCAGTGCCATTGAGCTGTGAGGGCAGAAGCCGGCCCTCCAGACCTCCCTGCCTCTCCATCCCGGACTCCAGCAGCTGGGATTCCTGACCGAGTCAGGACCAAGGTGCTCACATCCCAGAGGCCTCCTGCCCAAGGTAGGGCTGGCGGGTGCAAAGCGCAGCCCGGCCCGTTGCGGAGAGCCAATCCCAGATTTCTGGCTGCTCTCAGGAGCTTCTTAGGCTCTTCCCCACCGTATCAACCACCAGTGGTTCGTCCCCTGGGATCTCTGTCAGCATAACCCCTCTGCATACCAGCTAGCTTCTGAGAGCCCACCCACCCTGACTCATCCACAGGAATCTGCAGCCCGACCCCAGCTCCCCAGCTCCGGCCCCAACATCAGTGGCCCCCCTGCCCGGGCTCCACATGCACTCGGGGGAGCACATGGTGGTTCCCAGGCCACACTCACGAACCCCGCCTCCCAGCAGCTCCTCTGAGTCCCAAAGACTTGCGCCCTCCCATTCAGGCCTGGCTCCAGAGCATACCGAAGCAGCGGCCACACACACACACACAGGGAGGTCTGTGTTTATTCACACACCTCGTACAGTGTGAGGGGGGGGAGATTGGCGGGTGCAAAGCGCAGCCCGGCCCGTTGCGGAGAGCCAATCCCAGATTTCTGGCTGCTCTCAGGAGCTTCTTAGGCTCTTCCCCACCGTATCAACCACCAGTGGTTCGTCCCCTGGGATCTCTGTCAGCATAACCCCTCTGCATACCAGCTAGCTTCTGAGAGCCCACCCACCCTGACTCATCCACAGGAATCTGCAGCCCGACCCCAGCTCCCCAGCTCCGGCCCCAACATCAGTGGCCCCCCTGCCCGGGCTCCACATGCACTCGGGGGAGCACATGGTGGTTCCCAGGCCACACTCCCGAACCCCGCCTCCCAGCAGCTCCTCTGAGTCCCAAAGACTTGCGCCCTCCCATTCAGGCCTGGCTCCAGAGCATACCGAAGCAGCGGCCACACACACACACACACAGGGAGGTCTGTGTTTATTCACACACCTGGTACAGTGAGGGTGGAGGGAGATTTACAAAGGATGCCCCTGGGTTGAGAGTGTCTCCAGCTGTCATCCAAAGGTTCACAGCAGTCCCCACTTGGGCCCCCAGGCACAGGACACAGGGGTCCAAGGTAAAATCTGATCCGGGCCCTTAGGTGGTGGTACCTTGAGGGGGAGGGGTCTGCCAGAGAGCCTCCTGGGGTCAGGTACGGGCAGACTGGCCAGGTGGTTGGTTACCATGTTGGGGCTTGTCCCACCGGACCTCAACACCCACCCTTTCTGCCAGGCGCAGAACAAGGTGGACACTGGGGGGAGGGCACGAACCATGAGCGGAGCCAGTAAACAAAGAGTCGGATATAAAAATACAAATGTGCTGAGGAAGTCCCTTAGAAAGAGGCTGAGGCCGGGGTCACGCCAGACACGGGTGGGGTGAGGGACAGCCCGGAGGGCGGGCTCAGGCGGATGGGAAGCTCATGCAAATACGCAGCCAAACATCCCTGGCCGCGGACAC